TTTTATTTTCACTCTTCTTGTATTTTTTTTTTTATTTTCAGCAGGGCTTATTCGTACAAATTGCACAGCTCCACCACCCAAGGTAGGGAAAAGGCTAAGCATCCCAGTGGCCAATTCCCCTGCTTTCTTTAGGAACAAAGGGAAGAGCTGTTGTGTTTAATTACCTCAGCTTGCCTTCCTGCGCTATTTTCACCAATACTTGGGTTTAATGAGGTAGGAAATCTGGGCCCTTGTGTGCTGGTGGATCTACTCATCCTTCCTTCGGCTAAATATGTTATCGGGGAGTGTCCACAGAGGTGACCAACTGCTTCCTTTGAACTCGGGAACCGTCGGGATTCGCTAATTTCCTTCCACCACCTGCTCGGTGAATATCACTGCAGACCTCTTGTTTTCTTCCTCAAAAGGTAAACAGAAACGTAGATGGTTCCTAGATGGTTCCTAGATGTTCCCTGCTGAGCCACCCCAGCATGACAGCTAGTGGAGGTCAGCCAGACCACGTCGTCAGCTCTGCCCCGGCCAAATAACGACCACAGGGACAAGCCAAAGCCCCACCAACAGCCTCCAGGACTTGCAGCCCTGCAGAAATGCTGATGGATCTGCGGAGACCCCAAGGTCCTCCAGGAATTGCTGTATAAAATAGAATTATCCTGCTCTTCCACTCGCTCTGCCTTGTGTTTGGACCAGTTGAGGTGTCGCTGCTCCCAGGGCTCCATCCGCAGGGAAAAGAGTTGACCATGGAGGTGTTGACGAGTCCCCCCCACCCCATCTGCTCAGCCCCAGAGAAGGAGATTTGCTTCCAGCCAGCGTGGGGACCCGTGTATCGCTCTGATCCGCACGGGCACCCGCCCCGCAATCCATCTAGTGACGTAGCAGGGCGTTTCCTCCCCGGGTCGCAGAGATATTTTTAAATTACCATAGAAACCTCCAAACACCACCGCGTACAACGTTAGGTCAGGGTCTCCCTCCTCCGCATCTGCTTCCTTGGGGACGCTACGGGGAGTAGGTGCTTGTCATCTCCTGAGTGCCAGATGATGTGCCCTTGTGGCCAAGAAGGTCAATGGCATCCTGGGGGGCATCAGGAAGAGTGTGACCAGCAGGGGGAGGGAGGCTATCCTCCTCCTCTTCTCTGCCCTGGGGAGGCCCCATCTGGAGCACTGGGACCAGTTCTGGGCTCCCCAGTTCCAGAAGGACAGGGAACTGCTGGAGAGGGGACAGCAGAGGGCTACAGAGATGATGAGGGGCCTGGAGCATCTCTTTTATGAGGAGAGGCTGAGGGCCTTGGGTCTTTTTAGTCTGGAGAAGAGAAGGCTGAGGGGGGATCTGATCAACACCTAAAAATCCTGAAAGGGTGGGTGTCAGGAGGATGGGGCTGGTCTTTTTTCAATGGTGCCCAGGGACAGGACAAGAAGCCATGGGCACAAACTTGAACAGAAGAAGTCCCACCTAAACATGAGGAGGAACTTCTTTCCTGTGAGGGTGGCAGAGCCCTGGAAGAGGCTGCCCAGGGAGGTGGTGGAGTCTCCTTCTCTGGAGACATTCAAACCCCACCTGGACACGTTCCTGTGCAACCTGCTCTGTGTGGACCTGCTTTGGCAGGGGTTTGGCCTAGATGATCTCCAGAGGTCCCTTCCAACCCTATGTGATTCTGTGATTATTTTGGGGTTTATTTTCAGGCGAGTTTCCTGGAGCATGGGACGGACTCTGGGGCTTCCACCCTTTTACTCTCGCTCTTTCATCACCTGCTGCATGTTGAGGGGGGGGGGGGACGGGAAACACCATCTCCCACCAGCCTCACAGAGGGGCTGCGTTGGGTTTTTCAGCCCTAAATATTCTCCTTGTCGCTGCTGTTAACACTTCAGACGTGCGAAGCGCAGAACCGGGGGGGCGTTATGGGCGAAGGGAGCTTGGCAACCCTTAAATTAGTAACCGTGCAGTCGCCCGGCATTCCGATGGCTTAACGAGCCCCCCCTCCATCTTCCCGTGCCAGACGTGCCCACCCTGGGACGGCAGATGGTGTGTCCTCACAGCTCCGCCGGCCATGCCGGGACGGCAGGAGGACCATCAGCACCGAGGTGAAGGGAAAGGGGCTCTTTGATGGACCGTTTATGAGGATGGAGCCGGAGGAGGAGACAGATGGGGTGTGTTGGCAGGGAACTCCGCACCCGTTTGTTTAATTAGTCACCAGACGCACTGAAAGCTGAAGCGTGTTCCATGCAAACTCCTAAGTGGGGTGAGATGGACCATAGGATGGGAGCTGCTGGAAGCCACTTGGTGATCACAGAATCATGAGCTGGTAGGGGTCGGAAGGAACCTGTGGAGATCATCTCCTCCAACCCCCAACCAGAGCAGGCTGGACAGGAATGCATCCAGATAGGTTTGGATTATCTCCAGAGAAGGAGACCCCACACCCTCTCTGGGCAGCCTCTTCCAGGGCTCTGCCACCCTCAAAGGGAAGAAGTTCCTCCTCATGTTTAGGTGGAACTTCTTATATTCCAGTTTGGGCCCATTGCCCCTTGTCCTGTCCCTGGGCACCACTGAGAAGAGTCTGGCTCCATCCTCTTGATACCTGCCCTTTAGATACTGATGAGCATTGATGAGATCCCCTCTCAGCCTTCTCTTCTCCAGGCTGAACAGCCCCAGGTCTCTCAGCCTTTCCTCATCAGAGGTGTGCTCCAGTCCTTCATCATCCTCGTAGCCTCTGCTGTCCCCTCTCCAGCAGTTCCCTGTCTTTCTTCAACTGGGGAGCCCAGAACTGGACCCAGTGCTCCAGATGGGGCCTCCCCAGGGCAGAGCAGAGGGGCAGGATGACCTCCCTCCACCAGCTGGCCACACTCTTTTTAATGCACCCCAGGATGCCATTGGCCTTCTTGGCCACCAGGGCCCATTGCTGGCTCATGGGCATCCTGTTGTCCACCAGGACTCCCAGGTCTTTCTTCTCACAGCTGCTCTCCAGCAGGTCACCCCCAACCTGTCCTGGTGCAGGAGGTTATTCCTCCCCAGGAAGAGGACCTTGCACTTGTCCTTGTTGAACTTATTTAGGTTCCTCTCCTTCATGATCCTCATCTCATGGTCCTGCTGCGGGATCGATGTTCCTGCATGTGGGACGGGGTCTTCCCGGTGGCTTCGGGCATCCTTTATCTCCCTGCTACATTTTTTCCCCTAAAAAGGGCCGGATTCATCCACGTGCTTTGCTTTTTAAGCTGAAGGGTGGACAAACCTTGGAGTTTTCCTTTCTCTGGCGCCCAATGGAGCACGCAGCTGCTTTTGGGGGTCTGGACCCACCAGTGGAGGGGTTGGCATCTCCTTCTCCCTGTCCCCCCACCCCAGCACGGCTCTTCCTCTTCCTCACCTCGGACCTTCCTCTCCCCAAAGCGACGGTGATGAGAAACTGCTGGAGCCATGGAGAACCACAGATTTCACACGCCGTTATTTTTGGTGTATAAAGCCTTCGATTTGGGTCAATATTTGCCGTTTTCTTGCAAAAAGCTTAATCTTGAGGGGGGGCTGTGTCCCTTCCCCCCCCATTTCCCTTCTTGGCCATACCCCTATCGCTCATCCCTGGGACACTGGGGATATAAACCCTGCGGAACCGTTTAAAAATAAATTCAAAGAATTGTTAAAAAATTCCCTTTTTTTTTTTTTTTTTGGGCCGCAAACCGAGAGGATCTTTAGCCAACGCCAAGGGTTGCAAAGGAAGGAAGGCATCTGCCCGCTGACTTTCCCCTACAGCTGCAGAACTGACTGGGAT